GATGACGCACGAACATTTCCCGATCACTTGATGGGGGACAGTTTCGTGCGTCATAGTAGATCTCAGATCAGTTACCATTTTCGGTAATAAATACAGATTCATGTATAACTCAGCGAGTTTTGATTAGATCTCATCTCTCATCTCTTGTCCTCTTGGCATCACAGATTCCGATGACACATGAAACTTCCCCCCATCAAATGATCGGGAAATGTTTGTGCATCATAGAATCTTGAGCATTTGTACTGAGGCTGTGCAACTTCGGTAGTATTCATCATAGATTCTGATGACGCACGAAACTTCCCCCCATCAAATGATCGGGAAATGTTCGTGCATCATCAAATCTAGCTCTTCAAGTTCAACTTCCCACGGCACCTTCTCTTTGCCACAGCACCCTCTCTTTGTGGTGCACTCTGGTGTTTTGCTGAGTGCTCTTCGTCTTGGCCAGTCCAAACGATTTGTGCAACATATCTACTGCATACTATCTGTCTCCTTTGCATGCCCATCATCGTCTTGGCCAATCCAAACGATTCAAGTGCCACGTATCTACCACAATTGTCTCATTGAGCAATACGCCAGCTTCACCATGCCATCTCTATGCGCCTGTTGTCATCTTGGCCAGTCCAAACACTTCGACCATGTTCGTCTTGTGGAGTAATTCACTGGGTTCTCCAATCCCACCATTTCCTCTTCATTGCATGCATGCTAAGCGCCAAGATCCAAGCATATGGATTCAATTACCATCAACTGTGCTGTGGGGGGTGCCACCATTGAACAGACTGGTGTTAAAGGTGTGAAGGGTACCCACTGCTATTCTACTACTTGCACACATGTAGTAGTATCAAAACAAGTCTACACTGAAGGGAATCAAGCCACAGGAAGGTCTTGGCAGAGTTTAGCATAAGTTCAAAAGACACGAAATTACAAACAGACGTACCTCCACAAAGGGTCAACGGATTCATAAGCAGTTTGTTGGAGTGTTTTCAAGATGTGAAGTAGTGTCCAAATGAGTCTATGTTGAAGGAAATTGAGCCACAGGAAGGTCTTGGGCAGAGTTCACCATAAGGGCAAAAACATGAAAATACAAACTGACTTGTGGGTGTGGGCCAGTGCTGCGCATGGCATGTATGAGTCCTTCCCATGGACCTCCAATGCTGAAAAATATGTAGAGTAAGTTTTTTTTTTAAAAGGCATATTTTAACATTTTCATCAACAATGGATGCAAGCCACATTAATGTAAACCAAGAGATTGTGAATAATGTTACAGTAACAATGTCTAAAAAATTGCAAAATCATTTGACATTTATTTACAATTCTTTATAATCATTTGCTTCAAATCAATGTGGCTTGCATTCAATGTTATAAAGATATTAATCTAGAATTCTATTTTAATGTTAAATTTATCAAGACAAAGTTCTAATTTAAAGTTGAGAATATACAGCCAAAACAAGTTCCTGATCTTGATAGTATCTAAGATCATTATTGCTTTTATCATCTAGCTGCCCATCTTCTATACACTTATTTTTGGTGGTTATCCCATTATGGAACCAAACTTTACCTTCATATGAAAAAACTCTAGAGGTGAAATGATTATCCCCATGGTATATGATCCCTCTCAGGCTCAGTAAAACTTCTCTCCATTACA